CGTACCATAACGCCATTCCTGGGACTTCAAAGGCGCGAATCAACGCAACTGTTGCGCCTTTACAATCATGAACCCTTCCACACACCATGCCTGGCTCGTTGACCATGGGAATTCGTGAAACCCGTGCGAAGTATTAAGAAGAGTGAAAGACGAGTGAGTGTGGGAGGCGTTACCGCGAGAGCCACATGTTGAAAAGTAGCCGCCGTCAATCCGTGCAGCTGTTGCACATTTTTAAGACGAGTGTGCGTGGCGTTAAGGCGAGAGCCACATTTTGAAAACCACCCGCCTTCAATCTGCGAGTTTCAATTTTTCAAGACGAGTGTGCACGGCACGAACGCGAGAGCCACATTATGAAACCACCCACCCTTAATCCGCGTAACGCTTTTACTGTTTTGCAACACGTGTGCGCGGCGCTGGCACGATAACCACATTCTGAGAACGACCCGCCTTCAATCCGAGAAGATCTTGCACATGTGTTTGAAGCGAGTGTGCGCGGCACCTACAGCGAGAGCCACATTTTGGTGGCGGCCAGTCTTCCATCTGTGAACCTGGTGTCCATGCTCAAGCCTCAGGGTCATAAGGAAGTCAGCCGAAACGCCTGGCCCTTCCTTTCGACCGTCTTCGGAGGACGACAGGAAGAGGAATTACGCATTATAAGGACACAGTATGGAGGAGGAGGAGGAGGAGGAGGAGGAACGGAGGAGGAGGCGGAGGAGGAGGAGGACCATGACGAGAGAGGAGCAGGGAGGAAGAAGAAATTGAAGATGAGAGGGAGAAGGCGAGGAGGATCAGAGAGAGCCGAGAGGAGCAGCGAGGAGGAGGATGGGGGAATCAGGAAGAGGATAGGGGAGCGGAGAGGAGGAGGAAGAGGAGGAGGAGGAGGAGGAGGAGGAGGAGGAGGAGGAGGAGGAGGAGGAGGAGGGGGAGGAGGAGGAGGAGGAGGAGGAGGAGGAACGGAGGAGGAGTAGGAAGAAGAGGACGAGGATCAGCACGTGGTGGGGGGCGGAGGTTCGTCAACCCTATGGCCTGGCGTCCTCCTGTTGGGACATGGCTTGGCGCTGACGGGCGAGGAATTCCGTCAGTCCTAGCGAGGGGCAACTGTACGTCGAGGGTGTGGGAAGGGGGCTTGTGGGGCGCTTACGCTTACGAAGCTGCTTCCATTGGGTTCGAGCGCCTGGTCGCTTGAACTCATCCCCACGGTCCCCGCCTAAACCGCTCGCATTGGGTTCATTGCAAAGACCACACTTCGAGCATGCAAGAATTTGCACCGATGGTCCCCCGAAAAACATGAAGCGCATGGCCTTGTGGGTCCTGCGCCAGATCCGAAAACGCTGCGTGAAATCATTTTTTTTTGCACGGCTCGTGTGAACGGCCCTGCAGCTTGTTCTCCGCACATCACGTTTTGCAGCGCACGCCGACCATTAACCGTTCAACCCCCGCCCACACATGTGGCGAACGCGGGGAGGACGGGGGACCTCAGGGGCAGGAGGAGGAGGAGGCGGGACGGGTTGGTTCCACGTCTCATGTGCGCTTCGGCCCCGTTGTTGTTTAGCTCAAAACAGCAACTCCTAGGTTGGTTGCATGAGATGGGGTGGGGCTTGAGTGCCTACCCGCTTGCTTCGTGCGCTTCTTCTGAATATCTTCAGACGAGGCTGACACCGCTGACTTGGCCACCGCTATCTTGCAGTCCAGGTCGCGCTGGATCGCGAACAAAAAACTTGCGGCCGCTCTCCTCAGTTCAGCGAGGAGGGCGGCATTGCATGTGTGAGAAAGGAGGAGGAGCAGGTCATATATCAGCATGTGTAATGACACATATTCACTAGATGCCCATGTTTCCAAACGTTCATGGCAAAACTAAAGCCCGCGGGGCTTTCCATTCGAGGTGTATCTTGCGTAGGAGGTCTGATCATTTGAGCAATCGTGCGCTGGCTCTGATACTGGTTAATGATGATGGCGAGGATGACTCCGTTGAGCCCTGGTCATAGGGTTCGGTGATGCAGCTTAGCTCGGTTATAGCGAGGTCCCACGTGATAGAAGCCGCGCGGAGGGGGGGGGCACCCTGCGCGGTGTTGCTCTCTGACTGGAGCGACTGCTGGCGCGCCAGCTCGAGTATCGATTTGCCCACCTGATGGGCAAGTCAAGGACGGCGGCGCAGGCGTGTCCATATCCTCGCTTCTTCTCGTTTGCATCGTGCCCATGCCCGGCACGTGCTTAGCATTAGTCTTATACCTCTATGTGCTGGGCCCTCTCCTGAGGGCTTACGCGCGGGAATCAAGGCTGCGATTGCTGCGATGAGCTGGGTCGGCACACTGCCCGCGCGCTTCATCGAGATGAGGAGCTTGCAAACCATCTCCTGCTGCCGCTGAGAAAGAAGAGCAACGCGCCGTGACGCAGCCCGTCCGGAGTCTCGGCCGCGGCGCGGCTGAACTTCTTCAATGCCTGTCGGAGCTCCCGACGGGCGATGCGAGGAAGGGCTGCAGCTGCGCGGGGGTATCCACGAGGTGCCGCTCGCGTGTTCCAAGCCCCAGTTAGTCTCCGAATGTCAGCGTCCCCGTCGTTCTTCTGCACCCGGCCTGGCCCCCGGCGTAGAACTTTCTTGGCCCGCCGATGGGCCCAACCATCTCCCCCAGACCTCTGAACATCCGCCCGCTGCTTCCGCGTCGCGCTGGCTTTCTGTCCTTTGGGGGTGTTCTTTCTTTACCCAGAAACTTAGGAACTCGCGCGCGTCGTCCTCGAAATATTTTTTCGCTGCATTTGTGAGCCCGCCCCCCCCCGTGACCTGGCGCGCCCGGCTGCGGCGCCTAGCGTGGCTGCGCACATTGCCGCGCGCGGGGCTCAACTCGTCGGAAGCAAACTCCCGCGGCGGCGCGGACAGCTGCCGCGGCGGGCCCGGGGGCGCTCCCAAATCCTCCTGGGGCAAAATGCGCTGCGCCTAAAGTCTGATTGAGCAGCCGTCTCGTCGGTCTCCAAAATGGCCCCCATGCAGCTCGATGTTGGCTCTCTGCGGCCTTGGCAGACAACCCGATTATCTTCGGGGGGCAGCGGCGAAGTCCAGGTTGCCGAAGAGGTTCAATTGTTGTCCTTTTTGGGGTCTCGTCCATTTCCGAAACCAATATCTCATTGGCCGTGTCTTGGGCAGTTTCTTCGGGGTCTCTGGGGCATCCGAGTCCAGGATCTGCCCCGGGGCGCCCAGGGCAGCTGGCGAGCGAGCCCAATCCCATTCCTTTGGCGCGCTAGCCCAATCTAAGTTCTCGAGGGCTGGACCCGCCCGGCGGTGATCTCCCGGGGCGCGCCGAGGGCGGGGGCCATCTGACCGCGGCCAAGTGCAGAACTCATTGGCGGGTCCGTGCGTCGACAAGGGGGGCTGCTTCAGCTCTGCGATCGCCCGCGCTGGGCTTTTGAGGCGCGCGCCCATCTTGGAATAACCAATGTAATTGCGAGTCTTGCTGGCGCAGAGCGCGCGGCCTGAGGGGTGGGCCGACTCCGAACCTGCTCGGGATAAGCTGCTGTTCTCGATGGAGCCGCGTTAAAGTCTGCCACGACAAACACTGGCATGCGAAACTTCTGCTGGGACCATCCAGCAGCGGCCGGCACGCGCAAATTTGCTTTTCAGCCCGACCGACGCACCAAAGTGAATGGACAGAAAGTTGATGGGCCTGTGACATGGCAACTCTAGCATGGCAGCGGCGGCGCGGCTTGACGGGGCGCAGCTCGGGAGTGAAATTGGCGGGGCTTTGGCGTCGGGCCCGCCGCGCACGAGGGCGCGCGCGCCGCTGCCGCTGCAGCCGTTCTCGCCGACGTCGCAATCTGATAAAAGTATGCTGGCCCCGAATTTCGCACCGCGGCGCAGCTAGACCAACTCTGTCTCCACGGAGCCTGACCTCCTGAGCTGAGATCACCGAGGTGCGCAATGCTCCTTGAGATTGAACTAGATTTTGATATACGTTCCAACATGTGCCGCTGATGGCGGTGAAGTCAGTCTGCCTGCTGCAACCCTCCATGCGCGGGCGTCGCTCCTGCCTTGCCCTTGCCGGCGCCCTTTGCCGCCTCGTGGGCCTGCGAGAGCGCCTTGGCCCTCTTGGAGCCCCTGTCGGATGTCCGCGCTGCGACCTTGCTCGGCGCCCGCTCCGGCGCCGCGGATTCGCTGCGGGGCCGTTGCGTTGCGTGGCCGCGGTCGGGGGCCGAGCCGCCAATGGTTTGCGATGCTTCCGGCTGTGGTTCATCGTCTGCTTTGCCTCCATCCGCGAATCTCCCTGCAAGCGGCGACGGCGACCCCGCGCGGCGTTTGGGCGGAGTGCATTCTCTGGGCGCGCGCCGCCCTCTATCCGCGAAGCTCTCTGCAAACGCTCAAGACGACTGCGCGTGACGCTAAGACGGGGGCCCCACTTCGAAAGCGGCGCGCATTGCGCGCGCGAAGCCCAGCGCGAACAGTCAGGACGAGCGCGCGCGGCGCTGAGGCGAGGCCCCGATTGAAGGTGGATCGCCCCCACCCGCGAGGCCCTTCGGAAACGGCCAAGACGAATGCGCGCGGCGCTGGGGCGAGAAGCCCGGCCTCCATCCGCGCGGCTGCTGCGCGCGGTCAAGGCGAATGCGCGCGGCGCTAAGGCGAGAGCCCCGCGACGACAACGGCCCGCGCGCCGTCCGCGAAGCCCCCCGAAAACAGCGAAGTCGCGCGCGCAGCGCTGGGGCGAGAGCCTCGCTTGCAAAACGGCCCGCCCCCCCATCCGCGAGGCCCTTGCAAGCGGTCGAGACGAACGCGCGCGGCGCTAGAGCGAGAGCCCCATTTCCAGCGCGGCCCGCGCACCATCCGCGAGGCGCTTCGCGAATAGCTGATACAAGTGCGCGCGGCGCTAAGGCGAGGGCCCCATTTCGAGAGCGGCCCGCCCTCCACCCGCGAAGCTCCGCGCAAACGGCCAAGACGAACGCGCGCGGTGCTGGGGCGGGGGGCCCGCGCTGTTAACGGCCCGCCCCCCATCTGCGAAGCTGGGCAGGCGGCCAGGGCGAATGCGCGCGGCGCCAGAGAGAGAGCCGCATCTAGGAAACGGCCCGTCTTCCATCCGCGAAGCCTTTGGGCGGGCGCGCGCGGCGCCAGGGCGATGATTGCGCGCGGGAAACGGCCCGCCCTCCGCCCGCGAAGCGTTCGACGAGCGGTCGAGATGAACGCGCGCGGCGCGGGGGCGGGCGCCCGGCTTTGAGAGCGGCCCGCCCTCCATCCGCGACGCTCTTCGCAAGCGGCCGGGGCGAGCGCGCGCGGCCCCGCCCCGGCAAGCGGCCCGGCGCCCATCCGCGGAGCTCTCTGCAAGCGGCCAAGACGAGCGCGCGCGGCGCTGGGGCGGGGGCCGGCCGAGGCGAGCGCGCGCGGCGCTGGGGCGAGCGCATCGTTTTGAAGACGGCCCGCCCTCGCCCGCCAAGGCCCTCGCAACGGCCGTCGCGAATGGGCGCGGCGCCGGGGCGAGGGCCCCGCTCCGAGACCGCCCCCCCTCCCATCCGCGAAGCACTTCGCAGGCGGCGATCGCGCGCGGCACTGCGGCGGGGGCCCCATTTTTAAAGCGGCCCACCTTCCATCCGCGAAGCCCCCGGCAGACAGTCAGGGCGGGCGCGCGCGGCGCCGCGGCGCGAGCCTCGCGCTAGCAACGGCCCGCCCCCCAGCCGCGGAGCTCTGCGCAGGCAGTGGAGACGAGCGCGGCTCTGCGCGGCAGTGGGCGGGGGCCCCGCGCTGACAACGGCCCGCCCTCCACCCGCGAAGCTCTTCGCGAGCGGCCCGGGCGAGCGCGCGCGGCGCTGCGGCGCGAGCCCCGCGTTGAAGACGGCGCGACGTCCATCCGCGAAGCTCTTGTAGGCGGTCGAGGCGGGCGCGCGCGGCGCCACGGCGAGAGCGCCACTTCGAAGACGGCCCGCGAATCTCAGCGCGAGCGGTCGAAACGAATCCGCGCGGGGCTGGGGCGAGAGCCCCGCTTTGAAAACTGCCCGCCCTCCATCTGCGACGCTGTCTGCGAGCGGCCAAGACGGCCGCGCGCGCCGCCACGGGCCGAGGCGCGGGCCCATTGCGAAAGGGCCCCGCCGCCCATCCGCGAAGCTCTTCGCAGGCGGAAGCGCCGGGGCGGGGGCCCACGTTGAAAACGGCGCGCCCCCCATCCGCTAAGCTCCGCGCAAACGGCCAAGGCGAACGCGCGCGACGCCAGTGCGAGGGCCACATTTTGCGAACGGCCCGCCCCCCATCAGCGAAGCTCTCAGCAAGCGGCGAAGGCGAGCGCGCGCGGCGCATGGCGAGAGCCCCGCGTTGAGAACGGCCCGCCCTCCATCCGCGGAGCTCTTCGCAAGGCGAAGGCGGGCGCGCGCGGCGCTGGAGCGGGGGCGCCATTTCGAACGCGGCCCGCCTTCCATCCGCGCGGCTCTTCGCGAGCAGCCAGGGCGATTGCGCGCGGCGGCGGGGCCCCATCTCGAAAGCGGCCCGCCCCCCATCCGCGAATCTCCCCGCGAGCAATTACGGCGAGCGCGCGCCGCGCTCGGGCGAGAGCCTCGTTTCGGAAACGACCCGCCTCCCATTCGCGCAGCTTCCCGCAAACAGTCGAAGCGATTGCGCGCCGCGCTACCGCGCCCGAAAACGGCGCGCCCTCCGATCCGCGGGGCTCACAGTCAAGACGAACGCGCGCGGCGCTAAGGCGAGAACCCCGCATTGAAATCGGCCCGCCTTCCGTCTGCCGCGCTCTTTGTTCGTTGTCGGGCCGAGCGCGCGCGGCGCTGAGGCGAGGGCCCCGCCGCGACGGCGGCCCGCCCTCCATCCGCGAAGCCCCTCGCAGGCGGCAGATGCGAACGCGCGCGGCGCTAGAGCGAGGGCCCCATTTTGCAACGGCCCGCCCTCCGTCCGCGAAGCGCGCAGCAAACGGTCGCGACGAGCGCGCGCGGCGCTAATGCGACGCCCCCACTTTGACAATCGCCCGCCCAACATCCGCGAAACGTTTCGCAGACAGTCAAGACGATTGCGCGCGGCGCTAAGGCGAGGGCCCCATTTCGAGAGCGGCCCGCCCTCCACCCGCGAAGCTCCGCGCAAACGGCCAAGACGAACGCGCGCGGCGCTCGGGCGAGACATGCATTTTTTTATAGACGCGTGTGTGTGTATATATTTACATGTATGTATGTATATATATATATATATCCATATACACGTACATAAACATATACCTACACATATACATATACATATACATATACATATACAGACATATATATATATATATATATATATATCCAAACCAAAAAAAAAGCCCTCTAACCGTGAAGCCCCGCGCAAACAGTTAAGACGCATGCGCGCGGCGCTGCGGCGGGGGGGCCATTCTGCAGACGGCCCGCCCTCCATCCGTGATGTTTTTTTGCAGGCGGCCAAAACGAACGCGCGCGGCGCTATGGCGAGAGCCCCGCATTGAAAGCGGCCCGCCCTCCATCCGCGAAGCTCTGCGCAAGCAGTCAAAGACGAATGCGCGCGGCGCTATGGCGAGAGCCCCGCGTTGAAAACGGCCCGCCCTCCATTTGCAAAGCTCCTTGCCAACGTTTAAGTCGTGCGCGCGCGGCGCCAGAGAGAGGGCCCCATTTTGAAAACGGCCCGCCCTCCATCCGTGAAGCTCTTTGCAAACAGTTGCAGTCAAACTCCGCGGTGAGGATGGGCAACGTTTGCAAAGGTGCTTTTGCATCCTTGCCGCCTCGGCCCATCCTCGGCCACTTTCGTTGGCTGCGCCCCGTTCGAAAAGCTTCGGAATGGGCGTCCAAGGCCCTTGCGTCCTTCGCGCGCACCCTTCTAATGCGGGCCGGCTGTATGACGAACGCGCGCAGCGCTGAGGCGAGAGCCGCTTTTTGGGAACGGCCCGCCTTCCATCCGTGGAGCTTCTGTATTATGAAAAACGACTGCGCGCGGCGCTAAGACGAGAGCCACGTTTTGAACACTACCCGCCTTCCACCCGTGAAACCCACGCAAATTTTCACGACGAATCCGCGCGGCTCGAAGGCGACAACCACATTGTGAAGGCCATCCGCCTTCCATCCATGAGGTTGCTGCAAATACTGATATCCAGGATCATGAATGTAGAGGAAGACTCAGGCGAAACTCCCAACCCGCCCTACCAATTCATTTCGGGGCGCGGCACGGATGCGTTCTTAATGTGGAGAAAGGATGGAACAGGAGGCAGGGCGGGAGGAGGAGAAGGATGACGGAGAGGAAAAAGGGGAAGCACACATGTCCGCCTGCCCCCCGCAGACGCAAGCAACAGCGACACCGAGGGTTGCACCGGTCAGGGCGGGGCACCGCCTGGCCGGCTGCTGCCGCTGCCAGCGCCGGAGGACAGATCGTGCGGCCGCCGCCGTTGACAGCGAACCGTAAATAACGACGAAGACGACGATGACGCCGACGAAGACGACGTTTAACGACGACGACGACGAACGACGACCGACGACCGACGATCGACGACGACGACGACGACGACGACGACAACGGCGGCGGCGGCGATGGCGGCGGCGGCGGCGGCGGTGGTCGCGGCGAGGACGATGGTGGCGGCGACGGCGACGGCGTCGGCTCTGTCTGGATCTGCCGCATTGGTTTATACAAAAAGTCAGCCAAAGTATACACGTCGGCGGTAAACAAGTATATGTTTCTGGACGTCTACTTTGGGCGCTTTCCTACTTCAAGAGTGAAGCGATTGTCCCTCTTCCCTCCGGTTTAGGGGGCGGGCGGAACCCCAATCTGCTTCCAGCGCCTTCCTATTTCATGTTTCCGCCCACGTCGTCCGACCGACCGTTTGACAATTCTGAGGCGCCCTCGCGGCCGCGGTTGGCTTTGCTTCGAAGTTCCGGCCAGAACGCACCTCAGTCTATCGCGCGGCCGCTGCCTTTGCTGATGATCCTCCGCCTGCTCCTCCGTCTCCCCCTCATCCTGAGGTTCTACGGATCTCACATAATGGCTCATGACAGCAGCGTGCTAAATTCGCGGGCGCAAGTGATGGCGCAAGAAGACTCAGCGTCACCATTCGCACCTTGAAGGGTGCGCACACTCTTGGCACAATCGTGCTGCATCTGGAAACTGATGTACAAGGTCAAATTGAAGAACGAGACCTTGGGCCTGCAAGGGCATCTTGAAAGTGCACCCCGTCAGGAATCCAAAGGTTATCTGAGGGAGTTTCTGTGGAACTCACGTCATCCTGATCCCTGGCGCGCGAGGCAATGGCCCCGCCGACCGCCCCCCCTGTTCCGTTTCAGGCGACGTCCGGGAAATCCAGCGAATCCGGGGAACGCGGCGTCAAATTCCAAACCGGCGCCCTCGCGTCGAACATCCTCAGAAAAACCACCCCCGGAACCTCCCCAAGGAGGCCCTCAGAGGCCCCCTTGTTCCGTTTCAGGCGACGTCTCGGCGAATCCGGGGAATCCAGGGAATCCGGCGACGAATTCCAAACTGGCGCTCTCGCGTCCTCAGAGAAACCGTCCCCAGAGCTTCCCCAAAGAGGCCCTCAGTGGCCCCCCTGTTCCGTTTCAGGCGACGTCTGGGAAATCCAGCGAATCCGGCGAATCCAGGGAACCCCGCGTCGAATTCCAAATTGGCAAAGCCTCCCCAAGGAGGCCGCCCCCCTGTTCCGATTCAGGCGAGATCTGGGAAATCCGGCGAATCATGCGACTAATTCCAAACTATTGGCGCCCTTGCGTGGGACATCCTCAGAAAAACCGTTCCCTGGAGCCTCTCCATGGAGGCTCTCAGAGGCCCTCCTGTACGTTCCTGGCGAGGTCCGGGAAATCCGGCCGTCGACGAATTCCAAACTATTGGCGCCCTCGCGTGGGACATCCTCAGAAAAAGCCAGCCCCCGTTTCCGGCGAGACTCGGGAAACTTGTCGAGATCAAGGAAGTCTGCGAAGAATCCCAAACCGGGAACTTCCCCAAGGGGGCCCTCAGAGGCCCCCTTTGTTCCGTTTCAGCCGACGTCCAGGAAAATCCCTGGGGGTGGAGGAGAAGGAAAGAAAGGAAATGGAGGAGAGGGACTAGGAGGAGGACGAGGTGGAGGAGGACGAGTCGAGTTGGAGAAGGCAAAGGAGGAAGATGAGGAAGAGGAAGAGGAGGAGAAGGAGGAGGAGGAGGAGTAGACGGAGATGGAGATGCCAGCATGGCAGCGGGTGGCGCCACGCCCGCCCGATCCTCACCCTCCTGATTTTCATTCTCGCCATCCTCGCTTTCCTGGCCCTCCTCCACATCCTCACCTTCTTGTTCCACGCTCGCCTGATCCTCGCCCGCGTGACCCTCACTCTCCTGATCCTCCCCCTCGTGGGCTTCGCCCTCCTGATCCTCACGCTCGTTCTCATCCGTAGCCATTTTGGCTCGAGTCATTCCCGCGGCCCGCCCCCTGCTCGCGCCCCTCGGTTCTCTCATGCCTGCGCTCTCTGGTGCGGTGGCGTCCTCTACGTCGCGGGACTTGGCTACGTGTTCTTTTATTGGATCAACCCCCGAGGCGTTCTTCCTCACGGCTGTTTTCTCTCGTATCCAGCCCCCTCGGCGTGACTAGCTGCATGACTCTGGACTATGCGCCTGGTGCGCTACGCATCCATGGTCGTCGGGCTCGGGCGTCGACCCGCTCATGTTCGGAGTTCCAGGATGCTTGTGCGGCAGTGCTGCGAGTACGGGACTGTCATCGCGGACTTCAGCCCCTCGGCGTTCCACCTGAGGCAATTTCGTCGCGGCGGTTGGACCTCAGGCGCGGGCTGCTGCTGCAGTATGGCTTCGAAGTGCTCCACGGAGCGCCCCACATGCGGTCCCTTCGTTCGGCAATACGGTGGGTGGAGGCTCGTTGCATTTTCTCGGGTGGCGTTCGACATCAGCAGTGGCGACATCGGCGGGGTGTCTCAGTGGGGGGCTCTTCACCTTGAACCCTGGAGCGGCTGAGTTCCTTCCAAGTCTCCCACTCGTTCATGCGGATGCCGAGGTGTCCTGGTGTTTTGGGGTATTTTCTAGTGCTGCGGATGATCCTTGGCCCGAGGTGGATGCATGTATGCAGGCGGATATGCAGGAGCAGGAGGGTATCATTGACACAGTGCACTACGAGGACGGCGACTACGTGATGGAGGGGGAGCAGGAGGACATCATCGACAAGGTGCGCATCGTGGACGGCTACGACGGGACGAATGAGGAGCAGGAGGCCATCATCGACCAGGTGCTCTATGAGGACGGTGGCGGCGGGTCCGAGGAGGAGCAGGAGGATATCATCGACCAGGTGCTCTACGAGGACGACACCGACGGTAAGAAGGAGGAGCAGGATCATGAGGCCATCATTGACCAGCTGCTCTATGAGGACGGCGGCGGCGGGTCCGAGGAGGAGCAGGGGGATATCATCGACCAGGTGCTCTACGAGGACGGCGACTACGTGCATGAGGTGACGCTCCCTGGCGAGGCGGATCCTCCCCGAGTGGCGCGGGAGATCTTGTTTAAGCACGCGGGCTGGGACGGCGAGACCGAGGATGACGATTTCAGGATGCCGCTCGGGGAGCTTTGCTTGCGCCACGATTGGGCCATGGAGTTGTTTGTGGATCGTTTCGCCGCCTTCCTCGGCGGCCCCTGGATTGGGCGAGTGCGGAGGATTACTGGTGTTCGCGCGTTTTTTTGTCTGAAGGTGTACCCCGATGGCGAGAAGGCGGAGGCGGACCCGATGCACATCTATGAGTGTGGCAACCCCTCGAGCACGCCGCAGTGGGACGGCATGATGATGGAGAAGATGGCGCTTGAGGAGGAGCGGGTTGCCTCCATGGCGCGGTGATCATCTCTGGTGAGGTGGGCATCTTGATTGCGGCGGGTCTGGCCCCCCCTAAAGGGCTTCTGGACCGAGGTGTGCTTCCACTTGGCCGCTATGTCGGTTTGTCGTGGGGTCGTGTTCGGCGCGTCCTTGTCCTTTGCGGGGTCAGCTCGACTTTGACGCGGAGCGCAGGGGAGGTGCCATAGGCCCCGCACAGGTGGAGGAGGCAGCATTCGTGAGGTGAGTGGGGGAAAGAATCCTCACGTTCATTCTCATCTCGATCATCTTTATCTCGCCGAGAAGCGCACGTCCCTTCTTCTATATACAGAAACTCACGATCAACCGCAGAGCGGCCGGCTAGTCATCCTGCCACAAACATTCAGCAAAGAACTTGCACAGGGCAGGCGGATAGGTTTTCAGGGCAGCGGCCCGAAAGCCTCCCGACACGTCAATTCCGAGCGCCGACGGATGACCTGCTCGATGGGTGCACCGACCCCCCCCCAGGCCTGGCCCGAATCCTCCGCCCCAGCGCGGGGGGCACGCAGTCAGAAACGTCGTATGTTTCTGATGCGGGCAGCTGGAATCACGCTGGGCGAGGGCCACTTTTTTGGTGGAGGGGAGGGCGGCAATGTATCGAAGCTCCTCCACCTGCCTCCACGACGGGTCCTCTTTATCCCACCGCGGTTCCGCAGGATGCTTCATAATCCCATGTGTCTTATTAGCGCGACAGGCGGCAAAGGGGGAGATACATAGTACGGAACAAAGCGTTGCGTAACTCGACCAATTGCCTCCCACAACGGGGTGAGGGCCTCGAACCCCCAAAGCAAACTGGCAGCCCTCATGGGCCTAGGCCCGCGACCGCCGTCTGAGTGCGCCTACGCGCGGCGCTCCAAGTCTTTCAGGGGCCCTGCCACAGCACCTTCACGGACAAGCTTCACCCAATGCTCCACAGTCTCACTCTTTGCTGAGGTTCCCGATCGCGGGGTCACTGGCGACGCCCAGGGACAGGACCCAAACAGGCGTACCACACGATGCTCTGGTAGACTTCCTCGAGCCCACACTGGAAATCCCCTCCCCTACGCGCACCCGAGAAAAGGGTGCAGCACAAACGAATGCGACGAGAAATGCCTGGTTATGGGGGGCGCGAGCCTCGTCAGCTTGCTCCTCTCTGTCGGCGACAGGCGTTTCGAGGGAGAGCTACAGTTCCTGGGTGGGCGGGATGAGGGGGTTCTTGTACGAAAGGCGTGCTGGACGACTTTCTCCTGATAGCTACGTTTCTTTCGCAGCTCCTTCGATTATTCGGCATCCTGGGCGCGCAGATTGTTCACTTCCTCGGTGTTCAAAGGTTTGCGGAGCACACGCAGACCGGACAGGCAAGCTGGCTTCTTCATTCCCCAATCAGCGCTTGCACTGAAGGGGTCTTAACGGAGATTGAAAGATTTGGCGAACATTTCCGGCAGATTTCGGTAGGCGGCCGGGTTCCCAGTTCCGGGGTCCCCGGTTCCCGGTTGCTGGTTCCGGGCCGATTTCAGTTGGCGGCGGGATTCCGGGGGGTCCAGTTTTTGGTTCCCGGGTGCCCGTTCGACCCCAGTATCGTTTGTGAAGGTTTTATGGCCAGTGCTGCCGACCTTGAAGATGACGACGACGAGGACAACGAGGAGGAGGAGGAGGAGGAGGAGGACCAGGGACGAGGAGGCGAAGGAGGCGGTGGAGCATCAGGAGGGAGAGGAGGAGGAGGAGGAGGAGGAGAAGGAGGAGGAGGAGGAGGAGGAGGAGGAGCAGGAGCAGGAGCAGGAGCAGGAGCAGGAGCAGGAGGAGCAGGAGGAACAGGAACAGGAGGAGGAGGATGAAGAGGAGGAGGAGGAGGAGGAAGGAGGAGGAGGAGGAGGAGGAGGAGGAGGAGGGGGGAGACCAGGGGCAGGAGGAGAACGGGGGGGGAAGGAGCAGTAGGAGGACAAGGATAATGGGAGTCGGAGGAGCAGGAGAAGAAGGAGGACGCCGAGGAATGGGAGGAGGAGGGCAGGAGGAGGAAAATGGGAAGGACGAGGACGAGGTGGAGTTGTGGAACACCTGGGGAAAAGCACGCGGGGGCGCCGCGGGGGAGGGGGGTGAGCATGATAAGGAGGATGATCAGGATGATGAGGATGATGATGAGGCGGATGTGAAGGACGGGGATGAGGAGGAGGGAAAGGGCAGCGGGGGGAGCAGGAGGAGGAGGAATTGGAGGGGGAGGAGGGAGGAGGAGGAGGAGGAGGAGACGGAGGAGGAGGAGGAGGAGAAGAGGGAGGAGGAGGAGGAGGAGGAGGAGGAGGGAGGAGGAGGAGGAGGAGGAGGAGGAGGGGAGGAGGAGGGGGACTCCGTGGACCAGGAGGAGGAGGATGAGGAGATCATGCGGAGGAGGAGGAGGAGGGGAGGAGGAGGAGAGAGGAGGAGGAGGAGGAGGAGGAGGAGGAGGAGGAGGAGGGGGAATTGGGGCAGAAGGACGTCGAGAAGGGCAATGAGCAGGTGGAGGACGAAGACGAGGCGGAGGAACACGACGAGGAGGAGGGTGAAGAGTAGGGGGGGAGGGGATGTTTGGCTCTAGATGATTTCGACGCCGCGACGGGCCGCGCGACCATGCGGGCGGTTTGCCACCTGCTGCCGGCGCCGGGGCCGCCGCGGACGGCGCTGCCGAGGGCCTGCAAGGCGCTCGGCGGCTGGAAGAAACTCTAGCCGCCGCGCGTGCGTCTGCTGATCCCGGGGCCCGCGGCGATGGCGATCGTCGGCGTGATGCTGTCGGTGGGCTAGGTCCCGTTTGCGGTGTTCGTGATCCTCTCCTTCGCGGGTTACTTACCTGCGGCCGTCGGAGGCCTTCCGTCTGCGGGGCGCCTCCCTCGCGCCGCCGAACCCCTTGGCGGGCGCCCGCTGCGGGGAGCGGGGGTTGGTGCCCAACCCCGGCGAGGGCGGCCGCCCTGGGGGGACAGGCATCACGGACGAAAGCGTCGCGCTGGACCAGCCCGCGCGGCGGCCGCTGCGGGCGGCGCTGAAGGCGGCTCGCCCAGGAAGCGCGCGCCCGCGGCACTTCGAGGTCGCGCAGGCGCGGGGAGCCTTCAACCGGGCCGCCGAGCGCCTCGGGCTGGAGGCGCAGCCGCCGCGGTGCGCGCTCCGCCACAGCGCGGCCAGCGACGACCTGCCGGCGCCCAGGCGCGCGCTCTCGGAGGTGAAGGACCGAGGGCGCTGGGCCACGGACTGCTCGCTCCGCCGATCTGCCAAGAGGGCCGAGCTCCAGCGACAGATGAACTCGTTGTCGGAAGAGGTTGTCGCCTTCGGCCAGAAGACGAATCCACGCCTGGCCTCGATCTTCGAGAGCGCAGCCCTACAGAGGACCTCCCCGTGGGATGCGACTGCGATCGTGACCTCATCGTCGCCCGGGCATCAGAGGCCCGCGCTGGCGGCCAGGTGGGCGGCTATCTGATTCGGGCGTTGACGACGGCCCTCAGGAACGCTTCGGCGAGGCCTCGCTCTGTCTGCATCTGCGATGGCGCTACTTCTTGGCCGATCGCGATGCGATTGCGCACCTTAGGGTATGCCGCCCTGTTCATTGATCTCAAGAGGCATCTTGAGGTCGAGCGGCCTCGACCCGCAGTGCGCCAAAGAATCTTGGGGTGGCTTGGGGGCTCTGTGGTTTTGGGCGTCTGGGCCTCTCCCGCCTCCAGTCCTGGGCCCCCCCGCTCGTTCTCGGGCTCTCTGGGGTTCGCTGGCTGCCATGATCCCCGAGTGCCATCGCTTGGGGGGCCCTGTGCTTGTAGCGCGCCCTGCGCAGTCATCTCATCATGTCGTCGCCTCTTTCATGCACGTCTGCACCTTAGCCTCGCAATCGGCTGAACTAAATCTCTGCCATCCCTGACACATTCTACTCAGGCGTACTATCGCGCGGGCCAGGGGCGCTGCGTCGCCCCCGCTTGCCGCGCGTTCTTTATGCTCGGGCAAGAGCGGTGGATGTTATGGGCATCGGCTTGTCCATGCGAAGTTTTCCGCCTTGATTGAAGCTGGGCGACCGTTCCGTTGTCGCGACAACAAGTTACCGCGGGATTTTGTTTTTTGGGCCGCCAATTGATCAACGAACAGTGCCGGAATTTTTCGCGAAAGCAAGTTGTCGCGATTTCTCGGGATGTAAATTTGCTCCTGCATTGAATGCTAATCTTCAGTTAATGTGTTCGGCCTGTGGCCAGGGGTTGCAGGCATGCTGGGTGCAGATCTCTCGACTGTGGCAACTGTGCTGGCGCTGGCTCGCGCGCCCGCGAGTGTGCCAGATGAGACGATCGCCCTCGCCCCGCTCATCAGAGCATGCTCTCTGGCGCAGGGAATGGAAGTGGATCGTCTAATTGTTTCTGAGTGTTTTGATCACTGCCATGGAGTATGCCGCAGCCGTTACGGCTCAAGTTCCCGTCCCCCGCTCCCTTGTTTCGCTTTTTCTGTGTTCAGATACCTCGAGTGTGGCAGCTGTGCTGGCGCTGGCTCGTGCGCCCGCGAGTGTGCAAGATGAAACGATCGCCGTCGCCCCGCTCAGCTAAACATGCTCTGTGGCGCAGGGAATGGACGTGGATCATAATCGTCATCACCCTTGTCCCCTTTGGCCGGCTCAATCATTATCCTGCTCTTCCCGTCCTCCTCCTTATCCTCCTCCTCCGCCCCATCATCACCATCGTCGCCACCATCTTCCCGATCCCGCCCGTCGCCCCCGTTTGAAGCAATCCTCCGACTCATCGCCTTCGCCCGCATCAGTATTATTCCTCCACGTCCCCGCATGCTCTTCCCCTCCCGCTCTTGCTGTTCATCCGCATCCGCATTTTCTCCATCCTCATTGCCAGCATCACCGCCAATGGCACCATCGCCATCGTCATAATCAGCAGCATCATCAGCATCATCGTCATCGTCGCTGCGGCCATCCTCGCCACTCATCATCACAAGCATGGCCATCGTCACCATCAGCAGCACCATCCAGATCACCATCAACATCATCATCACCAGCAGCAGCATCATTTTCATCACCATCGTTCAAGTCATCCTCCTAAGCCTCGTCCTCCATATCCTCTCGTTCCCGCTTGTCCTCCTCCCCGTGCACATCCTCTTGCCCAGAGCCAATCCGTATCATAGGGATACGCGGCAAGGGTGCAAGAGCCGTGGAGGCTCATGGTAACGCTTTTACAAACGAGGTTGAGCGACCAACGTCGCCAAGGATGGGCCGGAAGGGGCGAAGATGCAAGGGTACCCTTTGGGAGGTTGCCAATCCTTACTCTGCGGGCCGATTGTGCTCCAAGCGGCGGCGCGCGCGGGAGAGATCCCGACGACGACGACGATGATTGACGACGGCGACCGTCGTCGTCGCCCTCCTCGCCCATTCCCTCCTCCTCCTCCTTTTCCTCCTCCTCCGGCTCCTCTTCATGGGCGGTGGCGCGCGCGTGAGACAGCGCGACGACGACGACGACGGACGACTGACGACTGACCATGGCGAGCGACGACGAGAAGGCGCCCTTCATACTCCACCTTCCCTTTCCTCCCTCGTCTTCCTCTTCACTCATCATCTGTCCGACTCCTCCAAGCATGACGACGACTACGAATGAGGATGCACCCCAAAATGACCCAACATTCTTCCAAGAAGACCATCGGCGAAAAAGGACCGCACTGACGGCCCATAACGGCCCCGAGAAGGCTCCAAGTTGGCCCAAGAGGGTTTCCGTGGGAAACCCCATCATCATCACCACCAGCATCATTAGCATCATCACCATCACCATCACCACCGCAGTTTGGTGTTTGGAATTAAGTATTTGGTGTTTGGAGTTTGGTGTTTGGTGTTTGTAGCTTGGGGTTTGGGGTTTGGGATTTAGGGCTTGTGTTATTTTTGGGGGTTGGTGTTTGGTGTTCGGTGTATGGGGTTGTCTGTTTCATGTTTGGTGTTTGGTGTGTGGAGTTTGGTGTTTGGGGTTTGGGGGTCGGTGTTTGGGGTTTGATGCTTGGTGTTCGGATTTTAGAGTTTGGTGTGTGGAGTTTGGTGTTTGGGGTTTGGGGATTGGTGTTTGAGGTTTGATGCTTGGTGTTTTGAGTTTAGATTGGAGTGTGGCGTTTGGTGTTTGGAGCGTTGGGTGTTGGGTGTTGGAGTGTGGTGTTTGGTGTTTGGAGTGTGGTGTTTGATTTTTGGTGTTGGGTGTTTGATGTTTGGAGATTGGTGTTTGGTGCTTGGTGCTTGGTGTCTGGAGTTTCGTGTTTCGTGTTTCGTGTTTGGTGTTTGGGGTTTGGGGTTCGGTGTTTGGCGTTTGGGGTTTGGGATTTGGGGCTTGGGGTTTCAGGTTTAGGGTGGGGGGATGGAAAACCTGTCAGGGTCTCACCCAGAGAGCCAACCGACTCGGCATTCTGTTTTTTTACTCAGAGAAACAACCCTTTTCCCGGATGACCAACTCTTTTCCCGGAGACCCACTTTCCCCCCGTTGGTGGCATGTCACACAAAAACTCTTCCTTCTCATCCTCCTCGTGGCCCCCTCCTGCTCCATCCTCTGCCTGCCCTCCTCCGCGTCCTCCTCTTCCTGGCTCCCTCTCCTGGCTCCCTCCTCGTCAACCCTCTACGCGCGTCATCCTCCCTCCTCATTCCGATCTGCTCCTCCCTCCCCCCCCCCTGCTCTGATTCTTCCCCCGCCTCCAGCCCCGTGAGGACGTGGTCACTCCACGGGTCAGTGCGGTCCACATTGCCGGCGCGTTGGGCCCAGAAGCTCCCGAGGCGAGGGGCCGACGTGGAGGAAGGAGGAGGAGGAGGCAGGGATGAGGAGATAAAGAAAGCATCAGAAAGGGGAAGACGAGGAGGAGGAGGAGACGGAGAAATAGGGGGAGGAGAAGGAGGACCAGTGTAAATTCCAGACGCACCAATGATGTGGCAGCAAAGCCTCCCTCCAAACCCCTCGCTGGTTCTCACAAGAGTCGGTGTTCATTGCGGGATATGCCCATTGAGAGACAGCCGCCTGAGAATCCCCAATCGTGCCAATCACAATTGCTGGTATTTCAACGCCGCGAATCCATGCGACTGTTGCACCCTGACCCCCAAGTCGTGCCAGGGCGCCATTCCTGGGACTTTTGAAACACGATTCCATCCTTGGAGCGGCTACAAGCTTGTAAGACGAATGCTCGCGGCGCTAAGGCGATGGCCACGGTTTGAAAAGGAGTTGGTCTCCATCTTTGAAGCTCTTGCTAATTTGAAAGTTTCAGGGTCACAGCTTCAGGATCATAGCTCAGGCGAAACGCCCTGCCCGACCTACCGACACCTCTGGGGGTGCGACAGAGAGGAGCTATTTTCAAGGAAAGGGGATAGAGGAGGAATAACCTATATATATTAATAACGAGGAAGGGAGGCAGGATAAGGAATGAGAAGGGTTAGGATGAAGGGAAGAAAGGAGGCCGGGACGAGAAGGAGGATCTAGGTTTGGGGGCGTTTGTCTTACCCTCTTCGGGGAGCGTGAGGGAGAGGAGGGGAGGGAGGATCTACCCTGTTGTCCCAACCCTCCTTCGGTTGGATACTGGCTCTGAGCAAGGCACAGCTTTCCTGGAAGGTCAGGATCGGCTTCCTCTCCCCCCCTGCCTGCTACCTCGCCTCCCCATTGCGCCGCCCATCCCACGATTCTCGTCGCTGTCGTAAGCTCCGGGAGGTCCAGCAGAACGACGTCTTACAGGTGGTCTGATGAGAAGAGCTGCTGCTCGTCTCCCCGGCGGGGCGCGCGAGGGCACCAAGGTAGCCGCCAATCGCGCTGGGCGAAGCGTAGGCCTGGATTCAGGCGCGTGTATTAGCGACGGGCCCCATTCCCATACAGTCAACCTCATAGTAAGAATGGGCAGTTTTCCCAAGCGTACCCTCGGCGGAGTCGCAAAGCGAGTCGAATGCTTTTCTTGTCGCTGCGCGCCACACGAACGCGCCCGGCCCAGGCGCAGCCGTAAATCGGTCAAGGGCCCTGCAAGGCCCGCAGAGCCAAAGAGCGTCGGGCGGCGGACCTCCAGAAGGCTCTTCAGAGGTCCTCAAGCATTCAGGCCCAGGCTGGACCCCATCGCGCAGCCCCTGATGGGCCTACACGACAGGCGGCCCCTGGCGGACTGGCAGGCCTAGGCAGGCCTTTTCAGGAAGCCTCAGGAACTCTGAAGAGGTCGTACGTTTAGGGAGCATAGGATGGGAGATGGTAGGAACGCACTCACTCTGTCAACCCTTTCATCCTTGCCTCCTCGGTCCATCCT